GATTGCAAGACTTAATGAAACTGCCTCTAAACTATGTATGCTATACTATACAATGTAAATTCTTTTTCCTTACATAGCTTCAGAGCTTTGTCTCTAACTTGCACAAACATTTTTAATGTCTGTAAAACTGGTCACTTTTCATTATCATGCTAATACAACTGATTTGTATTACTATTGATAATAAAAAGAAAAAATGGGCTTCATATTTGTTTGTTATTGATTTTTACAGTATTCTAAAAGCATGTCTAATCCTCAAATTCTTGAACAAACCAGACACTGATTTTCAGTGTCTGGAATTAACCTTTCTATCAAACATGTACCATTATATTGCAGACTGTGGGAAGGGAGGGGAGGAGGAGATGACTGAGACCCTTGTCATTGGTTTTCTGGAAATGTTATGCMTGTTTCTCAGGACTCAACTGACATAGTAGTTTGGTTCATTCACAGTTAATTTTCCAGAACCTAATTGGATCAGACAGCTTGTAYCAACTGTATAAATGACAGTTGCTTTGTCTTTTCTTCAGACAGTCTTGTAGCTTGAATAACAGAGTAAGCAACACTGTGTAGAAAAACTGGTCCTTAGTCTTCTGAGTGTGCCAGACTCCATTCTCTGTGTAGGTTTGTGGTGMATGAACTGCAGGAGAGAAGCTGAGATGCCTCTGAGGCAGGATGGCTCAGGACAGGCTCACTGCTTGATGCCACTTAATTTGGACTGGCAGAGAAATGGGATTCACAGTAAACTTTCAAGGAGTTTCTGCCACCACGGCTGCACAAGTTGGAAGTGGAACATTCTTTAGCTGATGACTTCTGGCCAAGGACTACAGCAATTTACATAATCTTGTTTACATGGTGTTTGCCCTGTGTTTCTGATTGCCACGGTGGTTTATGTTGCTCTCCTTCCCAGTGAAGTAACTTTTTAAATATTCTGTGGCAGWGAAAGGGTAGCATGAAAAGTGTCGTGTAGGAGGCAGGAGAGGGATCTGAGCACAGCTGTGTTACACAGCTGTACCAAAGCCCAGAATGGCACATTTTTCTTCAAATAGTCTGGATGGTTGTGCTGAGCAGGCTTGCCTTTCGATGCAGCAGGATGAAACAGGAGAATGACGACTGATACATAGCTTGGCTTCTGCCTTTGCGTTTGCCTGTGTTCTGCCCCAACCAGAACATTTTTGTGTGGTTCCGTGAGCTAAGTGCTGACAATTCCTGGGATCGTACYTCTTCCTGAGAACTGCTGGCTCCATCTTGTGGATTTAGGAGTTAGAAGCTCTGCCGTGGACAGGGGCTGTTCAGCRTGCTCAGACGAGCAAACAAGTTGCTGTATTTATCTGCTACCTGAATTACATTGTAGAAATCYACACTAGCCAAATTCATTGGTTTTGTTGCTGTGCTGTATGATTCTCTCATGTGGTATGAGACCTTGTTCTAAAATTAAATTTTCCTTTTGCATGCAAATTCTAATGTTAAATCTTGCCTAAACATTCTTCTGTGCAGCAGAACGCCCAATTTCTCATGAGGATGGTGGATTTATGTTTTCTCTGGCATTAAACCAGTTTGCATTGCAAGTGTAAGTTTGTTCTGCTTGCTGAGCACTGATTTGCATGCCAGAAAGAATACTTATTGTTCCCTGAGACTGCAGKATTTCACTAAGCATTTTGTTTCTAAGGGTGGTTAAAGATGCTGGGCTTTCTTTGAAATATAAAGCCTTAATTTGGGGGTGGGGCAGAGAATATCCTTTTTAATTTTCCTGGCACTTGGTCTTTCCTCCCCCAAACTACTTAGTGTCTGTTATGGGAATAGGATCTACTAGGCATATACCAGCAAATGGCCCCTTAAACATTGTAACTCCAAAGGGGGTTGGAAGTAAAAAGTTGAGGTGAGCCTAGGATCACATGCTCTGAACTTGCCTTCCTGATAGAGTTGATTAATCTTCAGAGTTTACAGTAAGTTCCCTTCAATGAGCTTTGTTACTTGGCTTTGAGGCAGAATCATGTTTTTGAAGTAATCAGAGTTTATAGAGTTTGTTTTTAAAGCCTGGCATTTGGGGTATTGGAGGCTTTATGCATGTTGGCTTCGTAGGCCAAATACCAGAATTCAAGGACAAACTTGTGCACACATGYAGCATTGAGAGACAAGGAAAGTTACTCCCTACTGTTTAATAGTGCTCTGTTTTTGTTTTTAAAAGGAAAACACATACAACAAACTGAACCTGCTGTTTGGATGGGTGTTTCAACCTGTGGTCTGTAAGAGTGCTCTGTAACATGATTACTCTCCCCACAAAAYGATGGCATTACAATTCCATACCTGTAAACAAGGAAAACAACTGTGGACTGTGGGAAGGAGTAATTATCTGAAAAAAATAGCCAAATTCTTCCTTGCCTCTAAATTAAAACCATCATGGCAACATTGCCCAAGATACCCTGCATTTTTACTCCTAGAAATTTGGCTCTTCAGTHTTAAAAAGGCTGCTGAGAACCTAAGAGAGATAGTCCTGGTCAGATATAGACCTCCCTGACAGAAGTGTCCTTGCCCGGAATGACGGGGGGTTCAGAAATCAGAAATTAAAACAGTTTCTAGCTTGGAAGCTGGTGCAATGAAAACTTAAAACTATTAGGTTGCTGAAAAAATGCCTGCAGGATGGACCAGGTGTTTGTTTTTAATTACAGCTATTCTTGTGCCCTGGTCATGAGTGTGGAAGAACCTCTTTCACTCAAGGGTCCYTGTTTTCATTTCTCTATAGGCCTGCTTGAGGGTTTCAGATATTCCTAGATCTGCCTGGCTTCAGGCAGCTTCATGAAACATGAGCCCTTCTTGTCCTTTCACTCCTGGTGACCGTACCCCAATTAGGTGCTGAGCAGTGCCACTGTGTGCCAGGTAGTTGCATCCCCAGCTATGGCTGGCTGCCCCATTCCAGCTCTGAAGACTGGAGGACAACAGAATGAATCAAACTGTGGGAAGAGCAACTATTCACAGAAGGATTATGAGCACTAGGATAGCTGTTCATTTCAGACATCATAAACGAAAGCTGCTTCCTAGCTGAAGAGCAGCAGCTGAGTATGTAATTCACCTATTTCTGCAGCCAGGTTAGAGCTTTGAATGTGGTACCTTGAATAAATCTGCTTGAATGATGGCAGTAGTGCAGTAAACACTCATGGAGCAGAGGGGAGCACTGTGSCTGCTTGAGTTGTTTTGATTTGCCTCTTTTCCCCCCTTTCCCTCCCTGAACAGTACAGAGGGAGGAGGGCAGGCAGAGCTTCTCCTGCGTGGGAATAAAGGCCACATTTGCAGCTTTGCCTCAGGAGCTTGAAAAACCATAATTCAGGCCTCCAAAACTGCATTTGGTCTAGAAATAATGAGATGCTTTAGAAAATGAACTTAAGAGTTCTCTTTCACAGTCATTTTGTTTCCAAGCATTTTGAGTACCCTTGCTTCATGTTTGCAAGCTTTCTTCAACAATGATGGCAAGAGAACTTCTTTCAATGAAAACAAAGATGTTCTTCTGTTTGCTGATTCCAGCACCTGGGGCATAAATTTTAAAATATTGTGGCATTTGGAGAGAAGTGGAGGCAGGACACGCAAACCACTCAACTTTAAGCCCCATTTCTGCTGGGTCACCATCCTTTGCCGTTGGAATCTGAAGGATTGCAAA